GGGTGGTTTCTTGCCCTGGGTTCTGAGAACCTTCAGGGTGCCATGTAAGGCTGTCAGGGGGCCCAGAAATTTGAGATATTATGGGATAGAGCATGTGTGTGTATGCATGTGCATGTGCTTATGGGAACTTGGGCATGTGAGGAGAGGGTCCCTCTGCTTTCATTAACTTCCCAAAGAGCCCAGAGCCTGCGAAGCACTGCTGAGGGTTTAAAATCCTCTTTTTTTATAAAGCCTTTGCATCAAGTGACTGCAAAATGAGCAGATAAAGTATAACAATCATAGGGTGAGCCTCTAGTCATAGAACATTTCTTATACAGTAAACATCAGGTCATTATATCACTAGGTCACTTGATTTTTACTTCAAATTCACTGCCTCAAAGCTAATTTCAGGTCAGAATTTCAGGCCAAAGATTTTTAAAGCCTTTGCATCAAGTGACTGCAAAATGAGCAGATAAAGTATAACAATCATAGGGTGAGCCTCTAGTCATAGAACATTTCTTATACAGTAAACATCAGGTCATTATATCACTAGGTCACTTGTTTTTAGTACTTCAAATGAGTATTTGAAGCCCCTGTTGTGAAAACAGAAACTATTTACTGAGCTGAAAAAAACTTGCAAAGCAATTACTTTAAGAAAAACTATAAGGAGAAAAACTCTCAATAGTGTTTATGTAGTGTCATGTTGTACAGTAACTACCCCATCTTCTTGGAGTGGAGGTGATTCCAGAGTACAGGGTATCACTGTGGCTCCAGGTGACTTGGGACCCACTTGTGCTGGACCCATTTGGGGAATATGACAGGACTTGAGCTCTGGCCTCCACGGGTTGAGTTTTTCAGGAGAGTCCAGTGAACTCAGTTCTTTACAAATCCCACCCAGGCCCGCCCTGTCCCTTCTAGTTAAGACATCAGCCGAGTTTTGGGTCATGTGACTGAGGTGGACCACTCCCTGTCTAGCCCCGGAGTCTAGTTGGCCCTATGCTCAGTCTTGCTAAGAGGACAAGGCAGCTTTATGTGTACCTGGGAATATGCATGACTGTAGCTCACATTTGTAGTAGATCAAGATAGGCTGGGCTGGAAACCAGAGGAAAAGATTTAGCCCTTGACTTGTCAGGCTCTCCAGGGTGTGGCACTCTGGCTGGAGCAGCACTTTTGCCAGCCCTCAGGCTCAACCTGACCACTCTCACCAGAGTCCACTCTTCCCCCCCTCCGCCCAACAGGCTGTTTGACTGGCTGGTATCCGTGATCAACAGCAGCATCTGTGCAGAACCCAACTCCTGGACCACTTTCATAGGTAGCAGGGGCTCTCTCTGCTGGGAGCATGCCTTCAGAAAAAGCACAGGGGAGCCCCGGGTCCACTATGTGACTGCAGACAACTCCTTTCCCTTCTCTGCACCCCCATCTTCTCATCCACTCTCCAGCGTTTGGGCGAAGACATCTCTGCTCTCCAGTGCCCACATCTGACCCATCCTCAGATAGCACCTCTTCTATCCCAGAGACCCAGCTCCGGTCTCAGGAGAATAGTGGGGATAAGTGAAAGAGCTAGATTGGAAGGGACTTGGGGGACACAATAACATTGTTGGAACCTGGGTGGGATAGTCAGGTAGGGGAGGAAGTAAAGCTCAAAGGCACCAGTAAATTTTATTCACAGAATGGTGGAATTCTAGACAACAGCTGGGCTGCTGAGACCCAGGCCCTTGAAATTGGATTGGACACAGGAAACGTTCCCTGGGACCTGGTTCCCTCATAGGAGGGGCCTGTGGAGGCCAGAGGATTCAGATCCCAAAGTGGACCCCGTGCCCTGGGCTGCCCCTCATACCTCATTTGGCCTTTTTTCCTGCTCTGAGTTCTGAGAGGGTGTGAGGGAGAGATGGGAACCCTGGGGTAGGGTGTCATGCTCACTCAGCCTCATCCCCAGGCTGCCAAGGATGAGGCTTCACCTTGGGCCACCCAGGGCTCCTGTGGTCCCCCCCGAACCCCCCCTGCTCCCTGCTGTAGCCTCATAGGTTTTCCCCCATCTTCCTAGGCTTGCTAGATGTGTATGGATTTGAGTCATTTCCTGACAACAGCCTGGAACAGTTGTGCATCAACTATGCCAATGAGAAGTTACAACAGCACTTCGTGGCTCACTACCTAAGGGCTCAGCAGGTGAGGCGCGGCAGGGTGGGGCAGTCCTTCTCCTGCATCCTCTGTATCTTCCTGGACCCCCAGGACCTGACCAGGAGCTTTTAGTTGCTCCTTTGATGTCATTCTGGAATATGCCATGGTGCCAAGGCCGGCCGTGGGATGTCCCTTCTAAGCCTCAGACTATAGCTGCCTTTTCCTCCCACCCCTTCCCGCTAGGAGGAATACACAGTTGAGGGCCTGGAGTGGTCATTTGTCAACTACCAAGACAACCAGACCTGTCTGGATCTCATCGAGGGAAGCCCCATCAGCATCTGCTCCCTGATAAATGAGGTAGGGAGGGTCAGCTAGTGTGCTGAGCACCAGAGTTGGGCTTCAGGCTTTCCTGGGGTCTTGAAGACTATCCTGTGCCCTCTCTGTGCCTCTGTCACCCCATCTTCCAAATGGATTTGCTGATCCCTATACTTCTTCCCTCTCAGGGTCACTGTGATGCCTGTGTAACAACTTTGCTGCCACAGGGGCCATGGGGTGGGGACTCTCAGGGTTGTGGTGAGCCCCTCTCACTTTTGTGACTGATTGCCCATCCTGTCCTTAACCGGCCAAGCAGTGCAGCCCAGCTCCAGACACGCATTGAGAGTGCCCTGGCAGGCAGCCCCTGCCTGGGCCACAACAAGCTCAGCCGGGAGCCCAGCTTCATTGTGGTGCATTATGCGGGGCCTGTGCGGTACTACACCGCAGGCCTGGTAGAGAAGAACAAGGTGAGGCTGGGCCACAGCCCTGGGGGCCTGCGTGAAACGACACTGAGTTGCTGCTGCCATACCTGGTAGCTTCCTATTGTGCATCCTCTCTTCCGAACATCCTCCCAGAATCCAAGGTCACCTCTTGGGCCCATTTGCCTAAGGTCTCTTCTAAACAGACATGACCTGCCCAGAAATAACCCATGTCACACTGGGTCTCCTGGTTTCTAGGCATCCAGTGGACCAGCTTACCTCTTGGACTTGTGCCCTGCCCTCTCCTGGAAGCCCCTCTGGGGCCTGGGTGAGCAGGGTGGCAAGCCCATGGACAGCCCTGTTTGACACCACCTGCCTTTACCTGCCCCCTTGTCCTTTCCCAATAGGACCCCATACCCCCTGAGCTGACCAGGCTCCTGCAGCAATCCCAGGACCCCCTGCTCAAGGTGCTGTTTCCTACTGAAGAGAAGTCCCAAGAAGAGCCCTCTAGCCAGAGCAGGACCCCTGTATTAACTGTGGTGTCCAAGTTCAAGGTGGGTCTGGTGGTGCTGACCTGATGTGAAGTACTTGGTTCACTCATCAACATCATGTTTACCAACCACCTGATGCTGTTTCCTGGGGGAGCACTGATGAGTCAGGTATACGTGATCCAGGTCCACATGGAGCTAATAGTCCTGTGTAGAAGAGACAGGAAACAGACAAATAGACTATCAGTATAATTGACATGACGGGGAGCCTAGGGGCCTGTAGATGGCACAGTGGGGTTTCTCACCCACTGCCGATAGGGGGATTGTGGAAGAGCAATGGTTATATGAATCTCCATTCCCAGTTCTCCAGCTTTCTACTCAAACTCTCCCTTCATGTAGAGCAGATTTGTCACCTTCTCTAGTATCTTGTGCTTACTACTATATCTCAGCCCTTGCACATTCTGCCCCTCACCATGGCCCCTTCAACTCCACTCTTACTCCTACCCTCCAACACCTCTTTTGTTTATTCCTTCTCATTCTTCAAACCTCTGTGTTATTATCATCTCCTTGAGGAGGCACCTAGAGGATCCCAGGTTTGATTAACATGTCCCTGCCCAGCCTCAGACACACCATGGAGGGTGCCCACCCAATGTATGTGTAGCTTGTTAGACCCCCAGCTCTGAGATAGCAGACTGCCCATGTCATAGCCCCAGTTACAGCATCCGGTGTAGCTTGTTAGACCCCCAGCTCTGAGATAGCAGCAGACTTCTCATGTCATAGCCTCAGTTACAGCATCCTACACACAGGACAGTCTTAATAACAGCCACTGCCTGAATAAATGGCACAAGATCCTGAGATTGTTCTCTTCTAGGAAGATTGCTCTGGTGAGGAGGGTAGGTGGGGGTTGGGAAGAGGCTGAGACCAGATGTAGGGAGACCTATCAGATGGAGGGTCACAGGTCAAGAAGAGTCCCTGGAGGCAGAGGTAAGGAGCAGTGGTAGGTCAAGAGAAGAGCTGACTTTGGGCACACTCAGCAAGAGCCTCTAGTAGTCATCCCAGGCACATGAGGATCCTGGTCTCAAGGCTGGGAGAGCTGCTGGAGGTGTTTGATGCAGTTCCTAACGAGGGCCCAGCTCCAATCCCTGCCTGACTCCACGCTCTCTCCCCTCTGCAGGCCTCCCTGGAGCAGCTTCTGCAGGTCCTGCACGGCACCACGCCCCACTACATTCGCTGCATCAAGCCCAATAGTCAGGGTCAGGCACAGACCTTCCTCCTGGAGGAGGTAATTCACACTGGGCCAAAGCTGCTTTGCATATGGCCAAGGGCTTGGAGGGGTGAAGGGCAGGACAGCTACTCCAAATAGAGTGACCAGAGGGAGTCTCTAAGGCTGGGCCTGATGTTAGGGAGGTTTTGTCTCCCCAGCTCTGGCAGGACAGTCGTGTGGTTGTGAGGTCCGTTTCCCAGTAGGCACTGCACAGTGACCCAGCCAAGTAGGCAAGTAGAGGCTCTAGTGCATCTTGCTGTCTGCTCACCAAGCCATGTGCCCTGATGAGAGACTGAAGCTGCCCAGAGGAATGGGTGTCTTTTGTGATTAACTGAAAGTTTGTTTCATGCACAATGTGGCTGTTTCTGACTAGAGGTATAGTTTTGTTTTGTTTTGAATTTACCCAAAAGCACTCTGTGACCAGCAGTTGCCCATTGCTCAGGGTACTGGGCTCCAAGGGATGTAGATGATGTGTGAGTACTGGACAATGCTGGGGAATGTCCCACAGTCAACTGGTAGGGTTTACAGCCAGGAGCATTCTGTGGTAAAGACTTGGTTCAGGTCCTAGAAGAATCTTCACAATATAACTTCCCCTGCCTCTCAGCCATGACTCACTTGATTGCCTGCAAAAAATAAAATAAAAAATAGAAATTGGGTTGAGCTGCATTATGAGGCAGAGAGCTTCTACCTTCTGGGAGTGATGAGACAGAGCCAGGACCAGTACCTGCCTCAGCTGTATCAGAAATCATGCATCAGTAGAGGGACCTGGGGCCACAGAGACCCTTTTTAGCAGGGAGATATTTTTTGAGGTCCCTTGATTTCTCACTGCCCCAAAGATTATATCTCCATCATCTAAGCCTCAGGAGAGCCTGCAGGTGCACACTGGCAGGGCCACAGGAGTGGCATTTCTAGCCTGCTAGCCCCGTAGTGCAGGTGCCCACCCTGTCTCCCCACCCTTGCAGGTCCTGAGCCAGCTGGAGGCCTGTGGCCTCGTGGAGACCATCCACATCAGTGCCGCAGGCTTCCCCATCCGGTGAGTGGGCCAATCACTGCAAGGGGCATGGCCAATGCCAGGGTGCTCTACAAGAGAGAGGGGTCAGCTGGGCACCTGCTGCCCAGAGGCCGTTCAGAGCACTGACACAGGGTGGCATGGTGTTTGCTGATGGCTGTGACAGTTGGGGTAGTACTGGGAACAGAAGCCAGACTTGGAGGAGGAAGACTTGGAGGATATCACATCACCAGCTGTTTAGAGAAGCATTGCTGTGAAGGGGAGCAAAGAAATCAGGAGGAAATGAAGGAGGCTGCGGAGTCAGAGAGGATGGGTGGGAGACATGGCTGAACGTGAGTGTGAGGTAGGAATGATCCAGTTGTCCAGGCAGAGGCCTGCACAGCCCTTTGGAAGGAGGTAGGCTGTAAAAAGGCCAAAACACTTTGTTTTGGTAGACCAAGGCCACAGGAAGAGCAGACCCAGTTTAAAAAAGTCTCTGCAGGCTTCTGGCTGAGTGATCCTAGTAATCTCTCCAAAATGACCACCTCATCCATTCCGTGGGCACAGTCAGTGCGATACCTCACTGGGTTGTTGACCAGATTAAATATAGTAACTGTGGCACCCCAAATGCTGTGCCTGGCTCACAGATAAAGTCACTTCCATTTTCTTCTTCCACCTACTTTGTCTTCCAGCGTCTCTCATCAGAACTTCGCAGAACGATATGGATTACTGAGAAGGCTCCATCCTCATACATCCCCTGGCCCCTACAGTCCATTTCCTGATGAAGGGCACTCAGGTGTGTGGGGTCCATTGGTTAGTCGTTTATTCAACCAGTCTACTGAGCATCTACCTTGGGCCGTCTCAGGGCTAGGAGGCGTGGGTTCAGAGGTGAATAAAACAGATTTGCCTTTGTGGTTCTTGCTTCAATAGGGAAACAGACTCAAAAAAAGATAAACAGTGGGGAAAGGCAAAGCTAGGAACAGCACGCTGTGACTGGTGCTGGAGAGATAGAAATGGGGGAAGGCTTCCTGGAGGAGTGGTGTCTGAGGACAGATGGGATTAGCCAGGCGAAGGGCATTCCACATGACAGAAGTAATCTGAACAGAGGCCTGCACAAAGGAGATAGTGCTGAGGTGTGAGGAACAATAGGACATTCACTGTTTTCAGCTCCTTAGGGCAGATAATGGTGGGAGGTGAGGCTCGGGTAACAAGTGGGGAGCAAGACTTTATTCTCTGGGTAGGTGGGAGGCACTTCTAGGGAATAAAGGAGTGATGTCAACCTGATGCTTTCTGGAGACCACTGTAGCAGGCCATGGCTGTTAAACTGGCCAGAGTAGAAAGAAGCTAGAGATGTGGGCAGAGCCAGGAAATGTTGGGAAGAAATTGGTTAGATTGGCCAAGCATCTGATTAGATATAGAGAAAGAGGAAAGGAGAAAATTAATTAAAATTATGAAAATAATTAACCATGCCTGCCCGCTAGTGGGAAAGAGAGGTCTGGGAAGCTGCTGAGCCCTGACAGGGCACTGGGCAAGCTTTCATCTCAAGGGCAAGATCTGGCCTGCAGCCTTGATTTGGAGGTTGTGGAAATGTGGCTGTCACCAAGGCTGTGGGAGTGAGTGGTAAGCCCCTGGCACTGGTGGAGGGAAAAGAGAACAAAGATGGGGTGCAAGGCACCCACCCAGTAGGACCCCAACCCAGTGGCAGCTGCTTCCCCACTTGCATATCTGTACCTTGGGGCCCACTAGACCCAGCTGGGACAATCCTGCTTTGTTTTTCTCCTCTCTTGGACAGTTTTGTCACTTTCATCTTTTCTCCCTACCTCTCTTTCTCCTCTGCTTTCCATGATCTGCTCTACTGCTCTGTTTCTCTTGCCAAGTCCCCTGACCCCTGGTTGATTTTGCTGCCATTTCTCGTCTGTGGCATCTTCTTTGGCAGCCTGTCTCCAGAGAGGCACTGGGCAGCTAAAGGTGGTCAGAATCCTCAGGTAAATCCTCCCTCTACAGGAATCAGCCCCGTGAGATGCAGGACCTGCAGGGGGACTGCTGGGCCACCACGGGCCTGGCAGTTGTCCTCCCTTTTCCCATCTGTGGTGGCGACTAAGGGGTCGGGTGGAGGGGCTGGCCTGGCTGCCCTGTTTGGCTCTCACCATGTGGGGCCTTGGAAACAAATGCTGGCTGAGCAGCCTGGGATTCTGGCTTGGAGTCCAGGCACCAAGTGCCCTTTGCCACCCTGCCAAAAGGGATCCACAGGAATAGAGGCTGGAGGCCAGTCCAGGGCACAGCCACAGTGGGATTCCCAGACTCCTCAGAACAGCCAGAGACCTGAGGGACAATAGAGGGGCTGCCTCTGGTCTCCCCCAGAAATGGTAAGGGGCAAGAATAGGAAAGATGCCTGTGGAATTGGGGAGTCCAGAACCAGTTTAAGGCCACAGAAGTGTGGATTACAAAGCACTGATAGGACCTCTGTCTCCCATCCCCTAGGATGGTCTCCACATGCCAAGGAGGCTATGCTGCAACCTCTACTCCAGGACATCCTCCACACTCTGCCAGCTCTAACTCAGGCAGCCACACCTGGTGACCCAGCTGAGGCCATGCCAGCTTCCGTGCACTGCGGCAAGACCAAGGTGTTCATGACTGACTCCACGGTAAGCTGGTTTGGGATGAGGAGCGGAGATCACAGAAGCCAGTTGTGTGCTCTCAGCAGGACAGGGTCTGGGCCCTCCTCAGGGCAGGGGGAGGAGAGGCTAAGGTGAGGACCTCAGTGTTTGCCCCTTCTCCCAGCTGGAGCTTCTGGAACGTGGGCGTGCCCAGGTGCTGGAGCAGTGTGCCCGCTGCATCCAGGGTGGCTGGAGGCGATATCGGCACCGAAAGCAGGAGAGGCAGAGGCAGGCCGCCGTGCTCATCCAGGCAGGTAGGAGTGGGGCCTTGGGCACACGGCCCTTGTTCCAGGCCAGCAGGTAGGCCTAGGTGCAGCCGCTATCAGCGATTACATACACACCCCAAGATGTTTCCTTTGAAACCCTGCTCCTTGAGTCCCCATATACCAAAGGTGACAAGTGTCCCAGCCTCAAGACGTTGGTCGCACATCCCTATGGTATGCTGGGATTCAACACTCCTGTCTACCTTACTCAAGAGTTCTCTCCAATTCACTGGAAACCAGGTCACAAATAAGGGTGCTCTATTGGTAGTAGAGGTTAAAAAGTTGCCCTTAACTCTCCTCTCAGACCTGGACAGCTGTTTATACCATCTTTCTTTCCCTTTATAACAACTCAAATCATTACCTGGTGGGCTTCAGGGCTTGTAATGAGTTTTAAGGTAAAAACAGACAAGATTTGATTCATCAAAGGAAGAGATGTAGGAACCATGTTCACAGCAGCCTCATTTTTAAAAATAAAAACCAGAAACTGCCCAAATATCTAACAGTGGTGGAGTCATGGTACATCATGGATAATTTTATGACATAGCTAGGAAGTCTTTTTAAGAGTATTCTAAATTTAATGGAAAACCATGATGTTCAAACCTGGATGCCAAACTATATCATCAAGGGTGATGCCGCTTTCATAAAGTGAGTTTCTGTTGTGTATAAGCATGAAAAAATTGTGTAAGGAAATACTGTAGAACTATCTGGGTTGGTGAGATAACAGGTGACTTTTATATGTCTACACTTTTTGGTTTTCTGGAATCCAGATGTATTCATATTTAATGGGATAGCCCTATTTCTCAATATGATTGTACCAAAAAGAATCAGAAAATGCTGAAATTTCAAATTGCTACATGAACAGTGTATCATCCAGGAGTTATTACCTTTACCAGCACGTGGGTGTATGGTGTCATTCATGGATTCATATAAAGCAAGCAAATTAAAGTTTCCAAAAAAATTAAAAATTTTAAAAGATGCAGACAATTCAGACCCCTCTTGTTCCCTGGGTGTTGTCCCAGACTGAGCCTGAGGTAGGAGGTACCTCTGTTCCCAGCTGTCCTTTCAATGTCTAGGTACCTCCAAGTCTTTGGGCAGTCTGAGGGGTGTTTTTCAGAGCCAATTTTGTTTTATGTATTGACTTAAGTACCTTACCTTACGTAGTGGCACAAGGTAACTATTCATTGAAAAAGCACCTATTTCAAACTTTTACAGCAGCTCTGGTGTTGCTGCAGAGCCAAGATACCAATAGTTCTAATGAACATTTTACTGTTTCTGGGCAAACCTCTTAGCCATTCGTTCCTGGTTAACTCGGAGACACATCCAGAGGCTGCACACAGCTGCCACAGTCATCAAGCGTGCATGGCAGAAGTGGAGAGTGAGTATCTGACTTAAGGGTTGGCAGTGCATGTTTTGGTACCAGATGGACCTGGGTTGGTTGGAATGCTGGCCCTGCCACTGCAAAATGGGTGGCCTCGTGTTCCCCATGTATGAAATGGGCATGACACCAGTTACACTGCAGAGTGGTTGTAACATGGTAGAATAGCATAAGCAACTCTGGAATATACCAAAAACCATGGGATTTTGTTAGTGAATTTTATAATATATCAATTAGACCTCAAGAAGGCTGTTTTTAAGTAGCACATATGGAAGGCCTAAGCATAGTTGCCTTGGGTATGTTCAGCCTCACAGAGCCAACCTAGTTGAAGGCATCCAGCTGTTCCTAGCAAGGTGCCCTTCAGTTCACCTTATTAAGCTGACTTATTAGTTTGGGTTTCCATTGAAAGAGCTAATCAAAAGCTATAAATTTGTGTTTTCTTTTTAAGATCAGAATGGCCTTCCTTGCTTCTAAAGAACTGGATGATGTGGAAGAAAAACACTTGTTTCAAGCTCCCTGTTCCCTAAGCTCTTTCCCGCTGCCACAGGCACAGACACGGCTACTGGGGGCAATAATCCGCCTCTGGCCCCTGGGACTGGTCCTGGCCAATGCAGCTATGGGTGTACGTGGCTTTCAGAGAAAACTGGTAGTCTGGGCCTGCCTGCAGCTCCCCACCAGCAGCCCCAGTAGCTACACTATCCAGACAATACAAGAACAAGCTGGTGTCGCGTCCATCCGAGCACTGCCTCAGGTAAACCATGTGATGCGATGGATGGCAATCCTGCCCACAGCAGCTCTGGGTCCCTCACACCCCACTGTCAAAGGCAGGAGGCAAAGCCCAGGAGCCCACAGTAGGAGGACTGAAGCTGGGACAAGAGCCATCCTAACCCCACTGGGGAACCAGAAGCCTGAGCTTTCTGGCTACAGGTTTGGACTGCTTCCACCATTACAACTAGGAATTTTCCAGAGCACTTTCACCCCTCTTTTTAAAAATTGCCTCTAAATGTTCTAGCATCTCCTTTTCAGTCCCACTTTCAAAAAATCTAAGTTGTGATGACAGCTTATTCCCTCCAATGGCGTTGGATATGACCCCTTATGTTTTCCTAAAATTGTTATGTGGTTTATCTCCTTTTCTAGTTGAGGATGTGATAAGCAGGTGAGTCTATGGCCCAAGTGCTGTTTTTAATATTTATGAGCAGACAGAGAAAAAGAGCCAGCATATAAAATAGCCTAATACTCAAGGATCAAGTGACACTGACAAGGCAGAAGGAAAGAAACATTGAATTTCCATGCCGATTACTACAGGCCACAATCTGGGTAAAATCTCCCACGACGACATACAGGCTAGCCAGAGTATAAACAGAAATGTAATTCTTTGATCTCCCAGCTTTAAGAAGTCGTAGGACTGTGACAAGCAATACTCCTAGCAGGGGAAAGCTCCCTCCTAGTGTTTCCTCATCTGTCTCACACTGAGTGGATGTGAACTTTTATATTTTAATACCACTTTGGGCTTTGCCACTGTTTTAGAATGATAAAAATACATTAAATCAGTCCTGCTACTGCCATGACTCTTCATGCCAGTAGTTGCCCACACCTCCCTGCATTCCTAGCATTTACCCTGTGAGGTATCTTTAGGCCCTGGCTCTCCTGGGAGCCAGGGTTAAGCTGCATCTCTCTCTCTACCCCTAGGGCTCGATAAAGTTTCACTGCAGAAAGTCTCCACTGCGCTATGCTGACATCTGCCCTGAACCTTCGTCCTACAGTGTTACTGGCTTTAATCAGATTCTGCTGGAAAGACACAGACTGGGCCACGTATGATCTCACCTTCTTCCCTTACGTTGGCTGGACGATCCGTGCTGCCTTTGTTTCAACAAGGCCTTTTTCTGCCAGCTGCCTTGCCAAAGACATTTAATCAACACAGAGCTGCCAAACTACTCCCACAGCGACTCCAAGCACGCGTGAGAGCGACGGCTGCCTGCAAGCCAGAGCTGCAGCAGCAAATCTACCAGTTGGCCTGGGGCTCCAGTCTCCAACTCAAGCACTGACAGGTGTCAGGGTTAGTAGTTACCAAACCAGGATTAAGAAACATCAGGGCCACAAAGAAGTTCACATTTTAACAACTCCAATCAAATAGGTTGTTGTCCATCACTACAGTGGGGCAACTCCCACCCCAATTCCCCAGAGAGAAAGCCGGCAGTCAGCTTGAAATCAGCTTTAAATTTTTGGCTGGGGGAAACTTTGCATCTAGTTCCTTGAAAAGGGACCAAAACCTTAGTTATTTAATGTTGATTTATTTAATTTCAAGCAATTAGATTATGAACCAAGGTTGATGAACAATGCAACATACGACAGAACCACTGTATCTTGATTTCATTTAGCAACAATGCACAAGTTTTAATTCACATGAGCGTGAAACTTGATAAATTATATTTATATCTTAACTGTACCAAAAATAAAAACCATTTGAACGTCAAATTCTTTCTCCATAAAGGTTTTGCCACTTTGAGTACCCCGCATCTACCTTACACCTGAGCCCACAGCAATGGAGGTGATGACTTGCATGACCTACCCTACATCAGTGGTCTGCATCCTGGAAATCACTGCCCTTACTTAGGGCTCCACACTAGTTGGTCTCCAGGTAGAAGGAACAGGCAGGTTCTGAGAGTCAAACATGCTTGAGCAAGCAGCACAATAATCCATCTTAAAAATCCTCATTCTGGGATGGTTCCACGATCCTTAAACAGCAGTCGGCAAACTCCACAAACAAGGGCTCCTGCATGCAGGCTCTCATAAGGTTGGCCTTATTGTCCCCCTGATCGAGGCTGACCATCAACTGTCTAAGATGTGGGTTGAGCAGTAAGCTTCTCAATGCCGCAGATTCCCCTTAAAAAGTAACGAGGAAAGAAAGCCAATCTATGCATTTACGTGGGAAGAGGTGATGGCAGAAAGCTAAATGTTTCAAATGTAATAAATATGAAGAATGCTAAATCCCCATAGCCTTTAAACCCACAAAAAACCCCAATGCTTCACATAAATAAGGTGAGAACAGCTTATCAAATGATTTCCAAATTAAATGCTATCACACATTCTTGTTCTTGGTATCCTTGTAAATATTTTAACTGCCATTTCAACAGCATTAGCTCATTGGCATGTTTTCTTTATAGATGTAAAGGTTCTCGGTGGCGAGGACAGTTATACCAAATACTCTGATGCTTAAGCAAGCATTTATCCAGCACAGAGCAGGATCAGTAGCAGTCAATTCTGTTAACTGGAAAGCACCACACATCTGTATGGTGCTTTCCAGTTAACAGAATTGTTCACACCTATCCCCAGCTCAGCTTCAACCTCAGTCTATGGGACTGGGTGCAAAGTACCATCTGTCATGCTGACTCTGAAATAGGAATGAAAGTTAACAGCCACCTTTAGGAACTACCCTGGCCCATTAATTATACAGGTAACAGAACCGTTATCAGGACTGAGCAATCCTACAAAAATGCTAGACTTTATTAACACCCACATCTCTCTAAAAAAAAAAAAACAAATCCAAGGACTATCCAGTCTGCATTAATGGCTGGACCGTAAACTGAACACTAAGAACATGGGAATGCAGGTTCCTCCCCTACAGATGGATGTGGAGAGACAAATTACCATAAAATCTGGTGAGTGGTAGATTACAAGGCACCATGGGAAAATGAAAAAATGTCTAATTCTGACAGAGTCAAAAGGTCAAAAGTTTAAGTGAAGAAAGGAAACTTGAACCAAATCTTGGAGGAGCAGAATTTTGCCAACCCACAAAGCCAGCATGATTCCAGGCTGAGCGCTGTGGAAGTCTTGTGTTGTTCATAGAACCATGTGGCTGGAGGAAGGGCTCTGCACGCTATATTAAAATACTGCTTTAAAATCACATTCTATACAATAGAATAAATGTTTCTCAAATGTTGACAAAATAAGTACAGCACAGACTTACCTAAATTCTTTAAATTCTGCAAAGAAACTCTGTCTTCTTCCTCATCACTATTGAGAAAATCAGCTATAGAGTCATCGTCATCATCTGAGGAATATATAACACAATCAACTTATGGCTAAAGAAAGCCCAGGTGGCAGATTTTAACTACTCCAATAGATATAATGTGCATACATGTGACAGTCACAGGGGTATGCAAGTAAGTAGAGACAAAACAAAAATAACTTTCTCTAAAATTTGTGACTATACTGACATTCCTCTTTTAGGGTTGGAAAGTGAAAGAGAAAAATGGGTGACTTTAACAAATGCACCCTGGTGTTCACACACTTATGTGTTTCCCTATGGCCACTGGGCTTAGAGACTGATTTTTCCAATTCTTATCGCCCTACGTCCCGTCACCATGGCTCCAGCCTTCTGATGGGCCAATAAACTTAGGTGTGTTCTATAAAAACCCACTAATGTGAATCCCATGCTTTCAACGTGGAAAGAAATTGGTGGCATTGTCTGAACCCACACAGAAGTTTCTCAAAGGGCTAAAATGGGTCATTACCTTGCTGTAAACGTTCAAGACCACTATGGTGGCACCAGGAAGGCCTGCTTTCAGAACCTAGCATGGTGTATGACACCCAGGAGGTATTAAAGGCTGGATGGCTGGCTGGGATGACAGCCACTACCACTGTGAGCAGTGAAGAGCCCCCAGCAGCAGCAAGGTGCCCCAGGACAAAGGCAGCCTCCTGCCTGGGCCCAGCTCAGGTGAACTGACGGCCCTGGCCAGGCCCATGGAGGGAGACCTGAAGCTGTGACTGGAGAAGGCTCCCACCAGCAGGGTCCACCCCTCACCCCCAAACCTCACCAATGGCCTTTCTCCCCTCTGCCTCCTGCCCCTATTTTTCTTGTCCTGAACGATGCCTTCCGGCTGCTCTATAATGTCACCTGTGACATGTGCTCCCACTCCTGGTGCTCAGGACCAAGGAAGCTGCTGCTCCCTTATGAAGCCATGGTTCTTGACTCCCTGCCCCAGCCCAAGTCTCCTCTTTCCTTTCAACTTATTCTATTTGAAACCCCTTTCTAGGTCTGTTTGTTTGTCTGAAGTCAACCAACCCACCTTTGTTTTCCATGGGCTTTATAGTTTTTGCAGTAACAGCTGATCTTATTTTTTTCTCAACAGGATGAGTTTCAAGATTGCATTGCTCTGAAAGAAACACAAAATCTCAGGTGCACACCACCTCCATTTCAGTGACAAGGCTGCACCTCCTCACCAAGTCAGCAACTAGGTGGGAGCATGTGCATGGAGTAAGGGATGTAGGTGGAGATGGATATAGAGGAAGTAAGAGATCAAATCAAAGGGGGCAATTTAACAAAAACAAGCAACCCTGAGCGTGGCAGAAGGCCTCATGGGCACCTAAGACCTGTCCCGATACTTCCTTGCCCTGCCTAATCTCACAGGGCTTTCATTATGATTAAGTGGCACACTGACTTCAATTAGCATCAAACTATTTTCCCAGCATTTTGATACCAAGTTTGCATGTACCACGTGCCACTGGGAATACGAAGATGAAAATCATCAGGCCCACCTCAGAGGGGTTTAGTCTTATGGATGACAGCTAGAGAGGTGGGTAAGATGCAATAGGTCTGCTGATCTAAATCACCTGAGAGGGCCTGGAGACAAGCCCAAGAGGAGTCTTGGAGGGTGAAGTGCTGCCAAGTGAAAGACGGACCGTTCCTGGTACAAAGCTCTATAGCTAGACTGGAACCTTGAAATAGGGTCAGGTGCAAGATGTGATGAGCAACTGCCAGCTACTCGATTGGCAGGGCATGCCTGGCCAGTGGCTAGGGCACAAGTAAAGTAGGAACAAAAGAATACCACACACAGGAGGTTCACTGTTCTTCCCAAGACAGGTATAGCTCAGCAAGGGTGCTATTGTGTTCCAGGTGGAAAGGTCTTTAAAAGTGTTAAGAGTCACACACTGCCAGGATGTTAGAATCAATATCAATTACCAGCAGTACTACCAACCCCTCCTCAGCACCCTAATAACAAAAACATTGTGACATGTAATGATACATTGTGACATTGTATCTCCCTAGAGAGAGCAATATTCAGGTTAAGAACTACTGACCTTTGCTAGACAAGAGCTTTCAACAAGGGACTGGATTTCTCAAATTTACATTTCAGACAATACACCTGGCAGCAGCAGGGCCACACAGATAAAAGCTCCTGATTGCCTTACGAGTTCTTAGAGGGGCCTCATAAGGCTGCAGGGAGAAAGAGAAGCGTTCTGCACCCAGCTCCTCAATCCTATTTCCAGCAAAACAGTTCTATTTCTTTCCTGTCTATTTTTAGCTGAAAAGTTTCTTCTGAATTGCTCCAGAACTATTAGGGAAAAAAGTGTACGCAAGGGTTGGGGGATGGTGAAGTAGTAAACCAGTATTGGAGGGGATGAAACCAGAGGCAAACAACTAAGGAGGAACTTTAACGTAAGAGTCAACCGATAATGAGGTCTTGGAAGAGGGTCCCTAAGGGCTGCGAAAAGGTACGGATTGGAGAGAGTTAAAATGTACTGTTCACAACGTTAACAGCCAAGGGCGTCGCTCCTTTTTGTAAACAGATCGACTTCATTGTTTTGAACGAAACATTATTTAAAAGAATTTTTTTTGTTGTTAGCAAGACATTATTTAAAAGAAAGAAAATGTCTGTTAACCTTAGCCATGTCAGGTTCCGCCAAATGGTGAGGAGCTGCGTCGGCATACTAAGACGAAAAAAGCTGGTAGACTTTTCTCGCGAAAGCGACAGACTATTTTTAAAGAAGAAAAAAGAATGGTACCCAAAAAGGCAGAGCAGAAGAACGGTTTTTGTTTAAAATCCAGAGATTCAAAGGCAGAGGTCCTCCCAGGGGATCCGACAGGATGGGGAACGGCAAGGCCCAGAGGGAGCGCGGCCTGAGGGGTGCACGTCCCCGAGACTGCAGCGGGACATGGGGCTGCCCTGCACGAGGAGGAAGCCCCGGGCTGAGGCGGGGACCCGGGGCCTTACCTTTGTGTTTCCGGAAGCACGTGACGGAGCAGCTGAAACAACAGAGCCCAGAGGCCGCGTCAGCCCCGAAGGTCGCGCGGACCCTCCCGCAGCCCAGACCCGGCCCCCGGCCTTCTGCCCCCGCCCGGCCCGACACTCGCGCTCCCCTTCTCCCACCACCCTGGCGCTCACTAGGGCACGCGGCAGGCGGGGCAGCGGTATTTGGGCTTCTCCAAGCATACCACGCAGACCACAGTGCTGCTACTGAGAGTCGCCATGGTGACCGCAGCCTTGCTCCCACTACCGACGTGCGCGTCTCTCGCGGCCCGTCCCACGTGCTCGCCTTTCCTTCCGTTTCCTTAACCAGGACCAATCAGCGCGCAGCACTTACTGGCAGTCAAAAGCAATAGATTAATCCGGCTTATTATTCCAGGCCTGAGAAGAAGAAAGTCGATACACTCGATGTGCCTATGTATAAAGTGCTACAAATCGTTATTTACATGACATCTCAAAGTTTCTATAAATCTCCTGGAGCTCTGGTCTCAACCCGAGTGCAGATCCCAGGTTTGAAGCTCCTCAAGGCCAGGGTCCTGGAGCTCTGGACTCTCTAAAAGGGTTCTGCCGTTGGCCTCTGTGTGCCATGCTGGAGTTGGGCATGAGCTGACTCAAGCCAGCCATTTCTCCTTTGGCTTTACCAGACTGTCCGGAGGACGCTGTCCAGTCGTCCTCAGGAGCTGCATGAGGTTTTCTCTGATTAGGTCACGTCGTCGAAAAACTTGTCATGGAGCCCTGGCCCTGTCCCTGTCCCTACGCGGCCTCGTGACTTGAAGCAAGTCATTGTCATTCTCCAGTTCCGTTGTCTCGAATGTAAATGTCATTTACCTTCTGTCTTGGACTTTCTGAACTTTTGATGGGCATTGGGTTCTCCCAACACATCTCATTTGCTTACCTCTAGCAAATGAGAACTTCAAACACGGGTCAAACCAGAATCGATATTAACAGAGTCTGTCTCTGCCCTCTGGGAGCTTTAAGTCTTAGAGTGAAGGCAAGTGGGAGAGGTCAAAGGGAAGAGACTCGGTCTTGGGGTCAATGCTGGTGCTAGCCTGCACTTGCATAATCCTGAGAGTAAGTGTCTCCTTAAATTTTGCACCCTAGGTTCCTCTCTTGCTTCACCCTAGTCCAGCCCTGGGTGGGACAGATTCACCAGGGAAGAGTGACTTCTGGCCCAAAGGTGGGGATCCCGGCCTACTGAGTCCAGAGAGATGAACTGTGATGGGCCTTGAATACCACCTCGGGCTTTAGGAATAAACAAAGTTATGTTTTATTGGGATCCCTGCTCTTCTTCAAAGCCCTGAGCATTGCCCACCCTAACCAGGTCTCCCATCCCACATGAGCAGTACCCTCCTAGGGCCATAAATCACCCTTACTCTAAATGCCTCCCCCTTTGTGTTGGCCCATTAACTCTCAGGATCCCACTACTATAAGCGTCCCCCCACCCCCGCAACTGTCATCATTTGTGGAGATGACTCTGCTACAACCAAGGCAGCCATTCAAGTCATAGCTCAAAACCCTCCTTGTAGAGATTGGTTACCCTCTCTGAGCTCCCTTATCTATTAGAGTGGATGTTTGGGCCTACTTTTCTGAGCTGTTGTAAGACAGAGAGGAAACTATGTATAAAGTGCTACAAATCATTATTTACATGATATCTCAAAGTTTCTATAAATCTCCTGGAGCTCTGGTCTCAACCCGAGTGCAGATCCCAGGTTTGAAGCTCCTCAAGGCCAGGGTCCTGGAGCTCTGGACTCTCTAAAAGGGTTCTGCCGTTGGCCTCTGTGTGCCATGCTGGAGTTGGGCATGAGCTGACTCAAGCCAGCCATTTCTCCTTTGGCTTTACCAGACTGTCCGGAGGACGCTGCCAGTCGTCCTCAGTGCTGAAGTGGTACTGGCTCCTCTGGCCGCCTACCTGCCCTGGCATGCAGCTGTCACCGCCTCCAGCCTCCAACCAGGACCAAAGCTGAGATCTAAGATGCAGCCACACTGACCCAAAAGTCTGCAGCATTCCTTGTATTCCTCAACAGTTGTGAGCACCGCTGGTTTGAACCAGAAGCATCCCAGAAGGTCCACGCTTACCTGGGTAGGCCAGAGAGGGTCAGTGACTTGTCAGCCACACTTGAATCCAGTGCTCCGTCTGGTGCCAGTAGAAATTTGCTCATTATAGATATCACCACTGCCTGCTCCAGACTTTTCTTACGACTTGTGTTTGGAGGCTGAGGCCATGGAGAGCCTCCAAAATTTTCAGGGGCTCAACCCCATCTCCCAAATCCAAACCATGTTGACTCACCTTACCTTCAGGTCCAGAGATGGTGACTCCAGCAAAAAGAAAAAATCTTGGAATTCCTCCCATGTATATTCCATATACCAAAGATAGCCCTCCCTTTACTCTGGGAGACCCCCAGCTTCCATGGACAGCTGCACCTCTCCTGCTTCAATTTCCAGGAAAGGAGGTAGTTTGGCTGTGATGGCGATGAGGTTGGGGAACACCGAGAAGCCATAGAAGCCCAGTCCAACTCCTCTGGGCAATGGCTAGTTCAGAAAAGAAAGACAGGTATGAGTCCAGGCCCAGCAACTCGATGTCCACACCGATGTGGCCACCCATGGCGGCACCCTGGCTTTCCCTGGACCCCCACCATGCCCATCCTAGCGGCTGTCTAAGGCTACCTTGCGCCTGCTCAGCGTCAGCCTGAGCACAGGGCCAGTCCTAAAGGAAGGCTAGATAATGATAGAGGAGGAATGGTTTTCAGAAGCTTCGCCGCCTGGCAGGCGCTGTCCAGCACATTCCAGGTGAGCGGAGCCTGGGGCCAACGCCAAAGCCTGGAAATGCGCGAGGACGCCCAGACCCGGCACCAAGCACCGCCAGAGGGCGCTCCAGGTTAAGTGTGAGCCTCGTGCAGCCTCGCTCGCAACCAACCTTGCACGGGAGACAAAGCTGTCCCTCCGCGCATGCATGTGTTAGTGCCGGCGTTGGCCTGCGCCTCGAACACCGCCAAGCGGCGGGAAAGA